TCCTGTCTGTGCTTCCCATTCTCTTTAGGATCACCTGTTGCATCTTTACAATAAAATTCTCTATGCTTAAGCTAAGTTGAGTGGTTACTCTTTCGTGCACCCACACATAACCCTTCTAAAATAATGCTGAATTTTCAAATGAAGCCACTCGTTCTCGGGAGACCATCAGGCTGCAGGGAGTATCATCAGCTTACCAGTGCAGGTGCTAAGTCACCTTTCACCATGAAGACATGAATGGCTTCAGTGTATTATCAAGGACTCTGGGAAACAAGTTGGCAAGTGTGGCTTGACCATTTGCTGGATGAGATCCCACCTCTTAATGCACCAAGGATTGACCAAAGACCTCAGCAGTCACGAAGAAGGTCTACACCGATCGTAGCAATGGATATTTTGACAAAAATATGAGACAAGTAACTGCAGTGACTATATATGTATATGTGTATGTATATATATATATATATATATATGTTTTACCCTTAATTTTCCATTCTTCATTGTGAGTAACAAAATCTCACAGCTGAAGAGAAGTCATTGCCATTCTTTCAGACATCTGATGAAATCTGAAGATCTCTTTATACTAACTGCAGGATTTAATCAGCAGTAGGTAATGTGAATGTGTGTACTATAATGAATTTCAAGTATTGCAACCTGCAGAGGTTGTCAGTGACTGAATTCCTGGGCTATGCAACTTGTAATTGAAAATCTTTACATTTTAGTTCCACCTGTCATTGTTCTAATTCTATTCAAAGAATATCTATTATAATAATACTTTTTCTCTGTCTATCAAAAGTTATGCTTCATAGAAATGTATATCATTAGAAATTATTAATTCCAACCTGTTGGTAACTTGGAAATCTTGACATTTTTTCAGGTCGTTGAAACTGTAGAAAAGACTTTCGTCTTGATAAATAATAAATTTGGTAAATACGAGGTAGCAGTGAGAAATACTGTTTTAAAGTTGATTTCCTTTAAGATGCTGGGAATCTTATTCAGGCATCTGTGCAGCGGGCAGTATCAAAGGACTACACCAACAGGGGATGGAGACCCAGGGTATCCGCTTTGCACTTTTTTCTTCAAGAAGAGTTGCTCTTCTGCTGCTACTCATCTGTCCATTTGTGGGAATTCTATTCTTCAAATACAGAGGCTAACGGCAGCATAATGAAGTTTTGCGTATGCTCGCTCTTGCTAGATTTTTTTGAGCATGGATGGTTTACAAGGAACAACCAAACTGTACCACAAAATGATATTGATATTATGGGATTGCATCAATAGCATTGGCTGTTTCATTTCCATTCACTTATCAGACATATTTACTTCTCAGATATTTCCTTAACCGGAATTGACTGTACTATAATTGCCTATTTCTTTGGTCCATTGGCTGTTAACCTTGAAGTGACTGGGGTAGAGCTGGCGAGGCCTTCCCTGTCAGGCCTGACCTCTCACTATGCTGGAGAGAGCGCTACCATGACAACGGCGACAGATGTCAGCTAAGCAATGTGCACCCTAGAAAGACTCCTGTATTGAGAAAATCGATCTTGTAATGGTGCCACGGAGCACATTCGCTGAACTGCCAAGTGTTCTAGGCTTAATCATTTATTTCATCTAGCAGAGAGAAGAAAACATAAAAGAAATGAAATGAATTTGACCTCTGTCTTTTGAGTGACTTTAGTGCTACACTGAATTCTAGCAAGTGCCTCTTATGAATTTTAAAAAATTACATTAGGAATAACATTTTGAAGTGAAATGACTCTTGTAATGCCAACCCTCCAGAAACATGTTATTTCAAATGTCAGACACATAATAGTCATTTGCTACTTTCTGTGTATGTCCAGGGGTTAGCTCCGTCTTGGGTATGTTTCAGGCAAATTATTATAAAGGAACCAGGAATGAAGCAGACCAGAGCCTGCTGCCTTGGCTTTCTCTCTTTTTCTTAGCATAAGGGGTCTTCCTTTGTGCTGATGATCATGGGGGGCTTAGTGAGTAGCATCAACAGTGTTTCGTATTGAGAGCTTCGCACCCCCTCTCAATTTTATAGTCTTCCAATAGCATGCTCGTGTCTGTCTCCAGAGTGGAGTTTGTCTCCATGACAGTTAATCCTGGGACAGCCTTCCATCGCCTTGATAGGCTTGTCATTCAAGCCTTGACACCTCTCATTCATTTGAGTCTGGCCTGCTGGATATGCAAATGATGGAGGACTGAAAACCATAATCCCTCAGCTGTGATGGCCAGTATGTCAATGTCACTATTTTCGGAACGACCATTTGGGTAGTAGTCAGGCAGTGGTGGAAAGCTAAACCAGGGGACGCGGAATGCACTTATGACCTTTCTTTGGCTCAGAACTACATTTTTTGAAAAGCAAACCCTCAAGCCAAGACAAACCCCCAAAGCTTAAAGATTGTAGACAAATCTCTCTGATAACCTTGCCCATATAAATAAATATCATTGAGAGTGATTATAGTGAAAAGGATCTCTTAAGATTTTCAATGCGATATGTCTGTCTCTTGTGCTGTGGGATATTTTATTGCATTTTTGCCCTCAAGTGGAGCTGACGGGAGCCAAGCTTGTAATTTAAATCAATAAGAACCCTTTACCATGGCCATAAAATACTTGGCTAAACCTTTGAAGTGGCCACAGTTGAATGCACAGTGAACACAGTATAAATGTTCCTTAAGATGTATTGTATGAGACCACTACTAAAACAGCATTCAAAGGAACCGGCCTTAAGCATCTTTTGTGACTGATGGAAGAGGGTCCCGCCTGCTTTTGATCATTTACATGCACTGTTCGCCTTGCCACTCGAAGTGGTTCCAAACAAGCCCTCTTAATTGGCACATCACCCCGGCCGCAGCCTTCTGCTTTCTCTTCAGACCTTTTCATTATCTCTTTGGTGGGGTTTCTGGGATCTGGGTCCCCTTCGAAACCAGTAATCCACATCTGATATGCTGTTGTGTTGACTGCCTCCGTTCCTTTGCACTGTAGCCGGGAAAACAGAACAAAGGCAGGTTGTTCACCCCTGTCAGGGGAGCAGGGAGCACAGCGAGGGGGGTCCACAGAGCCGGCAGGGCAGCGGGCTCTGCAGGAAAGTGAAAGCCCCGGCTGCTGCTTACCTGTTTATTTCTTTTGCAGTTTTTGGAGCAGAGTTCTTCAGCAAACTGTCAGACCTGAAGAAACGGTGTTTGGCTCCCTCTGTTCCTCTCTCTGCCTCACATCTGTTCTTGCCTATCCCTTTCTCCGCTCCCTTTTGCTGCCTCTGCTTCTCCTTTGTGTGGATGGATGGATGGACAGATGGATGGACGGATGGATGGGCGCTCCTTACTCTTGTTCCCTTTATCTGTCTCTCTTCGTCTCTCACTCTTTGTCTCTCTGTCTCTCTGTCTCTCTCTCTCTCAGATTCTAAAATCCTCTCTGATTCTGTACTAACAGTAAACAGTAATCATCTGAGTTTGGAATTTGGCCATGATACCTTTGGGGCATACTCCCTCTCCTGGTTGATGGTGTTGCAGTTATTATGGCAAAGGTGCAGGCTCAAACCTGGGTTGACCATCACTTCCTTCCAGAATTCTCAGCTGACCACCTTTCTTGGCCACTGCCTCACGGGAATCACTTATTCTTGGTGAAAAACCAAAGATAGGGACCAGAGTCACAGCCACTTTCCACTTTGATAAAATACAACCTTTCTCATAGTTCCCCCAGTCTTAGAATGGGGCCTCCGTGTATCCCAGTGGTTAAGGAGATGGATACACTGTGTGGCCTTTCTTCTTGCGGTAGGCACTTTCTGAAGGGCCCCTCTGGGCCCAGATCTGACCCCTGTTTGGTCACATGTCGTGTGTTTGCCGCATGTGGTCTGGCCACATGTTGTTGTCTGGCCTCTGCAAACCCAACATGATTAGGTGGCCTATGACATTTCATCTGATGTTTACCATTTTTTTTTTTTTTTGCTTGTATGTGACAGCAGAGTAGGCAGGGCCTTGAAAATGCACTACTTCATATTGATGAAGTCGATGTGTGTAAATGGCACTTAAAAATGTGTGCAATGGTAAGCTATCAGGGCTGAAATCAGATTTTAAAGACATACCAATGAGATTCAGTGCTTGGAACTGGTCTGGGTCCTGATTTGAACAAACTAACTGTGAAAAGGTTTTTTGTTGAGACAATTGGGGACTTTTGACTATGGACTGGTTATTAGATCACTTAAAAAGTTCTACAGGGGAAAAAAATACTACTTGCAAAGAAACGTACAGAATAGATAAATCCGCACTGTAGATGACAGTGATCCAAACTGGGTGATGAGCAGAAGAAAGGCTCATGGCGCTATGCTCTCTATTTTTCTATATGTCTTAAAATATTCTGTACTACAAAGCTAGAAAAAGTCAGCATGCCCCTTCAGGATTGCACAGTCACCACATTTACACCTACTGTTCAACGGAATTTTATCTCATAGGTCTTTAACTGTTTTCCTGTCCTTTTACTTCACATGGACAAATCATGCTTCTGTTATATGGCTGTTTGAAAGATATCTCTATCTCTTTGCCGTCTGTGGCTTGAGCTTTAATGTTTGACGTGGGAATATTTGCTTGCCCACTCTCCCGATTTGGACTGTAAGCAGCTTGAAAGCAGGCCTGTTTCAGGAGCACCTGGATAGCTCAGTTGGTTAAACCTCCAACTCTTGGTCATGAGGTTGAGCCCCACTTCTTGCTCCGTGCTCAGCGAGGAGTCTGCTTGAGATTCTCTCTCTCCCTCTGTGCCTCTCCTACACTGGCACATGTGTGCTCACTCTCTCTTTCTCAAAGAAAAAAAGAAAAAAACAAAAAGCAGGCCTGTTTCTTACCTGTCGGGATTTCCTACCTCGAATCTCACAGTGGAAGGCCCAGAACAGGCTGGAACACATAAACCGTGTTAACACATAAACCATGAAATCTAAGCAACTGAATGCAACAAAAGTCCATTTCCTGTTGTGTGTCAGGCATCCCTGTTTTGTCTTGCAGCTGTGCTCTCGGGAGCAGGTGGCCTTCCATGAGACTCCAGCAGGGCAAGAGAGAGATGGAGGTAGCTGGCTGGCTTTGGACTGCCTTGTCCTTGGAACGGCCCACAGAATTTTCCCCACAGTCCATAGGCTGGAACTAGTCACATGGCCCCACAACCACAAGGGAGGCTGAGATATGGAGGGGAGCATGTGCATATTTGGTGAGCATGAATCTGTGTCACACAGAGCTAAATGATGTTTGTTGAAGCTGCTTCTCACCCCACATGCATATGCCTCCTCAATTTCAACACGAGAAAATGCCAGGGAAGGATGCTTTGTGTTATTTGTATAAGATAAGAAAATGATAACCAGACTGCTTCCTCCTCCTCCTCCTCCTCCTCCTTCTTCTTCTTTTTTTTTTTTTAACCACACACTGGATTCTTTTCTCTGTAGCTGGAACCCTCTCTCCAGTTAATGGCAAGACCCCAGCGCTCTAACTGGCCACTGTTCAAGTATTTGGCTCTGTGGCTATGACAGTTGGAATTGGAGGCAGAGGGACCTGTCTCATCTAAAGATACTATAGCTCTACCCTGTCTAGGGACCAGCTCTGGCTGCTACAAGCCGAGGGTGCTCATAAGATGGAGTGGGACACTGATTGGGGCCTACACAGTTAACACAGTAATAACAAAAAAATAACAATGGCATATCAGACCATTGTAATTATACATTATAGTGAGAAGTTTTATCTAAGGAATGGACACCACTAACTAAATAGAGAAAATGTAGACTCTTAAGCCAGGTACACATTGCTCTGTATATGCTATGCTACTATCTTCCTCAAATTTAGTGATTGACAGGTACCTGTAGATATTTACTTATAGGTAAATGGTCTATACGAATTGGTGTTACAGACCTCTCTACCTGCTCTGTTCTGCCTCCCTTCCACCCCCTTCCTCCATGACTTTTTGTTCCAGGCTCACTACTGTGAAAATGCCATTTCTTAGCCATGGTGCAGAATGTGCCCATTAAAACTGATGTAAGTGAGAAAACCAATCTCCCAATTACCACACCAGCCATTGTTGTGGATGTAAATTTCATTCATTTAATTTTTTCCCAACAGGTACATATCGAGCATGTGTAAGCCCTGTGTGCCAAGGGTGATGCCAAAGAGCTAGAAGTTGTGACCTAGTTGAGCAAACTGTCTGCTTGGATCCTATGGATGCGTCCCTCAGCGTGGGTCAAGCAAGGAAGAATCCAGTGGCAAAGATTCACCTGGGGAGACAATGGAAAAAGGGATCTCAGGGCTAACTTGGGCCAGAATGAGGCAGAGCTACCACCTGGAGCAGGGGACAGGAACCGTCAGGACACAAGGTGCCCCAGGTCAGGGAATCCCTGTCTTTCTATGGGGTCACAGGCTCTGTCTTTCCTTGCATCTCTGTTTCTCTCTGGGCCTTTGCTCCATTATCTCTCTCTGCTGACTGGCTTCTGCTACATGGCATTTGTCCCCATCTATGTCACATTGCTGTGGCTCTGGCTTGACATGGCCCTGCCTGGATCTCACAGCACCCTTTCAACTTCTTGTCACTCTCATGGAATTCCTTAGCTCAGACTCCTGACAGAGACATTATGATTGATCCGGTTCTCTTTCTCTCCACTATGTTTTAGGTTCTATACCAGGGGGCATTGGGAAGCTTTTGGTTTGGTGAACATGCTGGGTCTAGTCAGCCATGATGCATTGGGGGGGTGGGGGCCTGTTGTGTTGTACAGTGCATGGACACATGGATGACAAGAGCTGTGGGTGGGGCAGGTTCCTCAGAAGAGGCCGTGTTATTGCAGCCCTAATGGGGCTAAGAGGTGAAGGTACTCAACCAGGTAGACACATATCGGATGCTGATCTGAGAGTCTCCTAGAAACAATGGGCAACCATTCAGGGCATTAAGAGGAGGGTGATCTGACTATTTGTCTCTTTAAATGGCCCCTGTGACTGTGTCCTGGAGAGTGAGCTGCAGGGCCACAGAGAGAAGGGGGGGTTGGTGAGTGACACTAAAGTCACTTTAGAGATAGAAGAACTGGATGGGTTGCCCTGTGTTTGGCAGTGAATGGTAGTCATCTCTTGCCCCTCTCCCCCTGGGTATTTGGGCTCTATCACACTGGTCCCCTTTTAGTTCCTCAAATTCCCTTAGCTCATTTCCTCCTCAGGGCCTTTGCGCCCACTCCTCATGTGCCCTTTGTTGGAACTTTCCAGCTCCGCCTACTTATCCTTCAGTCTCAGCTCCAGTGTTACTTCCCCAGAAAGCCTTCTCTGACACCCTTCCACAAGCAAAATAGGTAAGACCCTTAGTTCACAATTAGTTATTTAATGTCTGTTCTTCCATTAGAATGCAAGTCATTTGAGTTCAAGGATTATATTAACCATATTAAAAGAAGAATCCCCTGTACCAATATGCTGCCTGTTAGATAGTGGGACCTTAACAGATATATTTTGAATGAAGTATGCTGGCTTTTCTCATACTGTCTTGTTCAATCCTCCTTACAGTTTTACAGCCACATTTTTATGGATGTGCAAACCAAAGCTTAGGGAACACAAGGCAAGAAAGTGGCAGACCCAGGATTTGAAGCTAAGACTGTTTAACACCAAAGTCTTCACTCTTAATATCACAGCAGGAATAAGGTGAGGTTATTTTATTCAAGCAACCTAATTCAGATTAGGTCAGAACACTATGAATTCATTTTGTTCCCTTGCTCCATCCTACTGAGATCAATTTAATTCACTTAGTATTTATGGAGTGCCATGAACTCAATTCACTATGTTAAATGGGAGGGCAAGAAGGGACAGGCTGGGCTTCAAGGAAATGCTTGTAGTAAGCTGGGTGTAGAGGACCTCGGGAGGAGGAGAAGCTCAGTGCCTCCCAGAGGAGCAGCCTGGCCAAAGGTCCGAGGCATTGAGTCATTAGGAATGACTTTTGGGGCTGGCAAGGTCCTACTGTCCCCAGTGCCTGCTGAGATGGGTAAAACATCGAGGCTGGCTGCTTCATGGAAAGCACTTGGCTTTGGAGTCCCCCTCTGCTACTTTCTAGCTAAGTAACAGTGGGCAAGATACTTCCACTCTCCCAATTTGCAGGGTTGTGGTGAAGATTTTACAAGAAAATACAAGTATAGCACCGGGCTCAGCGCCTGGCATAAGGTGTTGACGGATATATGTGACCTTCCGTTACCACTGAGCCACTGGGCAAGCATCCTGTCTGCTCGTCCAGATAGAACAACCTGGGAGGGCGCAGAGAAGCATTTCACAGTGGGGGGTCCAGAAAGTCAGTGGCCGAGAATATCAGAAACAGTGACAAGAAGATACCCCCACTCCCCCCCCTTTTTTATTGTTGAGATGACATTTATGTAACATAAATTAACAATTTTAGGGTGCCTGGGTGGCTCAGTTGGTTAAGCGACTGCCTTCGGCTCAGGTCATGATCCTGGGGTCCCGGGATCGAGTCCCACATCAGGCTCCCTGCTCAGCAGGGAGTCTGCTTCTCCCTCTGACCTTCCTCCATCTCATGCTCTCTCTCTACCATTCTCTCTCTCTTTCAATAAATAAATAAAAATCTTAAAAAAAAAATTAACAATTTTAAAGTGTACAACTCTGTGGCATTTAGTACATTCACAGTGTTGTACAACTATAACTTGTGTCAAGTTCCAAAGAGTTTTCATCACCCCAAGAAAAACCCTGTACCTGATCAGCAATCACTCCTCCAGTCCTTCCACCTCTCAAGCCCCTGGCAACCATCAGTTTGAGTTCTGTCTCTAAGGGTTTACCTATTCTGGATATTTTGTATAAATACAATCATACGATATATGTGACCTTTTGTGTGTGGCTTCTTCCACTCGGCATCATGTTTTGGGGGTTCATCCATGTTGTTGCACGTGTCAGAATTTCCTTCCTTTTTTATAGCTGAGTAATATTCCTTTGTATGTCCATATCACCTTTTGTTTATCCATTCATCTGTGGATAGATATTTAGGTTGTTTCTACCTCTTGCTATTGAGTATAATGCTGCTGTGAACATTCACGAACAAGTGTTTGAATACCTGTTTTTAATTCTTTGGGGCTTATATACCTAGGAGTAGAATTGCTGAGTCATAAAATAATTTTCTGCTTAATTTTTGGAGAAACTTCCAAACCATTTTCCACAGTGGCTACACTGTTTTACGTTCCCACTAGCAATGCACAAAGAGTTCAGAGTTCTCTTCAGCCACCACTTGCTTTCTGGTGTCTTGGATTATAGCCATCCCAGTGGGGAAGAAGTGGTTTCCATTTGCATTTCCTCCCACCTTTATTTTCTCAATGCAGAGGAGGAGTTGGGTCTATGAGGCCTCTCTGACTTCTCAGACCATCCCTCGTGGTTAACATGTTAAAGGGGCTGCCACAGGGAAAGAGGTCCACTGATACACTTCAAGCTGAATTTTAAATTAGGACAAACCATGGAAGGCCATTTGGGAGCACTCTTCATTGAAATTACAAATGCACACACACTTTGACCCAGAGCTCCAAGTCTAGGAATCTGTTTTATGGATATACTCCCATGTGAACAGAATGATGTATATATATATGGTTGCTCACTGCAGTGTTATTTATAACAGTGGCAGATGGGAAACGAACTCAGTGCTCCTCACTGGGGGACTGGTTAAACAAATTTGGGGACAGGGCTACAATGGGATACTGTACAGTCGTAACAAAGATGGAGGCATCTCTTTGTGGGCTGATACAGAAGGAATTCCAAGACAGATTATCAAGTGAAAAACAAAGCAAGATGTAGAACAGTGTTTCAATAGGTTGCCCATCATTTAAAAATGGGAGAAAAAAATGTGTGTGTGTGTGTGTGTGTGTGTGTGTATTTTCTTGCATATTCACGAAATACCTCTGGCAAAGGAAATTGGTGATGAGGGACAAGAATGGGAAGGACAGTATTTACACTCTACCTTCTTGTGCTTTTGGAATTTTAAACTATCCAAATATATTTTTCGTTCAAAAAATAAATGAATGAAATTAAAATAAAGAGAATTCATAATCCCTAAAGATCTCACTGATTTGGGCTCTGTTATTCTGATTTTATGGTCAGTTTGATAGGACACGGACTCTAATGTAAGATTTTTTTTTTTTTTATGCATACCAATGCCAGGGATAGGATTGTAGGAGAAGTAATTCAAACTCCCGTCCTTCCCCCTCCCACTGCAGTCCTGGCTGCAGCTGCAGCTTGCTGACTTGACCACAATTTGAGCTTGAGTCAGCCAGCCTGAGGCCAACCCAAGTAACCTCCTGCAGCATGCTGTCCCTCAGGCCTTCTCTGGGTGGGGGGGCCCTAGGGGGCTCAGACCACAACTGAAGGACCAAAGGAGCAGAGGAGCAGATGTGTGTGGCCCTAGGCACTGGATGGAGATTGTGTCCTAAGTACATCTTCGAACCTGAGACCTGGAGCTCAGTGCCACACCCCTACCATGCAGCCCAGAGGGCTTGGAGCAGAGCAGAAGGCCCCGGACACAGCTGAGCGCTGCCACTTTCTTGCTAAGTGACCTTGGGCAGATCACAAGTTTCTGAACCTCTGTCTTCTCATCTCTAAATGGGGCTAATCAAGGCAAGATTGTTGTGTGTTGAGGAGGAAAACTAAGAGGGCTTTTAAAATGTAATCTCTGGGGTGGGGGGATGGGTTAGCCTGGTGATGGGTTATTAAAGAGGACACGTTCTGCGTGGAGCACTGGGTATTATGCACAAACAATGAATCATGGAACACTACATTAAAAACTAATGATGTAATGTATGGTGGTTAACATAACAATAAATTAAAAAAAAAGAAATACAACCTCAAAAAAAATATAATCTCTGTGAAATGCATAGAAGAACATGAAGGGTAATCTTGAAAGTCACTGAAAAGTCCACATTGGCTAAATGTCTCTGTGTGCTGAGGCGTTTGAGCGCTGAGACCACAGATGAGAGTAACACATTTTCCACCCTTCAAGGGTTTTGAGGGCTCATTGGCTAGTGGGAGAGGTGGATGTGAGACAATTTATTACAGCCATGTGTTCAGCGTAGAACAGAACAGAATCTATTGTGTAAAGGGACAGAGAGGAGGGCATCCATCCTGCTGGGGACTTTAGCAAATGTTCCAGGCACCAGACTATATTAGGGTAGAATCTGGAAAGGGAAGTAGGAGGTTGCCTGGTGCACACAGAACATTCCAGGTGGAGGCAACAGTCTGTGTAAAGGCAAGAGAGGAGTGTCTTTGGGCACTTCCATACAACTGTCTGCTGCAGACACAGGGTGTGCGGGAGGAGGAGGGCAGAGGAGGGACGAGCAAGAACTCCTATCAGAAGCCTTTTTATCGTAGGTCACAGCCAGAGGGCGCAGTAAGAAATGAAGAGCAAATAGGTCAATATGGAGCAGCAAGGAATCATTTTATAGAACCCCTGAGTGAGCTGTAAAGATACAGAAGACCCTGAGCCACCCAATTTTTCAGTGCAGGCATTAGACGAGTCTGGCTCCCAGTCATGACGTCAGCCTGGGCATTGTGTCTTCCTGGCTGAGATGTCCATCGTTCCTCCCGACAACAGGGCGACCCAGAGACAAGCTGTCCTCACCGGCAGTCCCTTGTCCCACAGCATCCGTGAGCACAGGAAGTCGCTGTGTCCCAGGATGAAGTCACTGATCTAGAACACAGGGCGCTCTCTTATTGGTGAGAGCCACCTTGGAGAAGTCTTCTGCTCAGGGTAAGTCCCAAGATCAAATGTGAGACACATGCTTCATGCTTTCCAAACCCCAGACACGATCATGCTCCTCCCCCAATTTGAAAACTGCCTCAGGTCCTCTCTGACTGCAGAATCCAGCCTAAACTGCTTGGCCTGATGCCCTGGGGTCATCCACAACAGGCCCCTCACCTTCACTGTAGTCTCAGCTGCAGATACCAGGGGGAATCGTCTCCTCTTCTGGATTCTCAGCAGTTGGCACTTTCCTCTCTAAGAGCTTTTTCCAGATTGTTCGTTTTTGTGCCCATTTCTTAGGAAGTCTGTGGTTCCTTGAGGATAGGGGTCATGTGTGACTCTGTAGTTTCGGGGTCCAGCTGTAGGTCTGGCTCATAGTAGGTGTTTAGTAAATGCTTGAAGAATGGATGCCTGGGGGCAGTGGGGAGGGAGGTGTGCTCTCTGGCAAAGATGTAGGGAATGTTTTCTGAAAAGAGAGAGGTCAGGAATGGTGAGTGGGATCTTCTTCCTTTTCTCCTGCTTTTAAAAAAATTCTCTCCCTCTTGCACTGCTGCCCTCCCATCTATGTTTTATGCATCCTTAATTCTCCAGAAATACCTTCTGTGCTGGCCTTTATGGATTTGGGACATGGATACTCACATAACGCCCCCACACAAGAACGGCTATCATGGTTGATAAATCAGAGATCTCTAATGCAGATTTCCACTTAACCATTCTTCACTGAATATATTAGGAAATATTAGTCACAATGAAAATGAGAGGTAGGAGAAACATAATTCAGTGTTCTGACACAAGTTTGTTTTCTATGGTCCACAGGCTAATTTTTTTTTTCAATTAGAATTAGAAACTGATGATACTTTCACTTTTTCCCTTAGGAAAATATTTATGGATCTAGCCATCTTACTTTGAGGGTAATTCTCCGATGATTCTGCCTAAATGTTTCTCCTTTAATTTCATCCCAAGGCCAAGCTTTAAAGCTTGAAATGATTAGTTCACCCTGCAACTAATTTAGAATTTGAGTTAACCCAGACACAGTTTTCATGTATATTCTCATAAGATTTGAAATAACCCTTTATCTCCAAAGTGTCAAAGTTGTACTTACAAATGTGCAGAATTTCATCCAAGGTCGTCACCGGTTTATAAACCAAGGGCTCAACAAATCAAGGCCTTCTGAATCATCAGGCCCTACCTACTATTTTTAAAGACTTTAATGGTTATGATGCATGAATAGGTACTGTAGGCTTATTACAAATTTCAAATTTTAGTCGGTTGGTCTCATTTACTCTTAAGAGCCATTTATAGAAAATTCAGTTCACCCGACTATCTGCATAGGGTAATGTGGGCAAAGACTCTGTAAACCCATGAGAACTATACACCTTTTCGGTATTGTGTTAATGTCTGCATGTCATTGCACCTGCCAGACTGCATTTTAAAAAGGTGGAGACACACTACATATATTTGTCTCCCATTTCTGTTACAAATAACTCTTTATTATTTTCCACATTAAGATAAACAAAACCAGAGAAGGGGTGTAATTACCAAACATAAAGATACAGGAAGAAAACGATCTTTTCTTTTCTTTTCTTTTTTCTTTCTTT